TTATTGTTGCCAACAGTTGTTATGAATTTCCTATAATGTGTCAATTGATGCTCTTTTAGTTTGTAGGCGTCGGTGAACCTCTTGGAACAGTCGGGCCATTCGCACCCGAACTGCCGTTCAGTCACTCCCTGGCCGTGAACTGAACGTATATGTCGTATAAGATAAAGGCTTTTAGGAGTCCCGTAGTTACAGTTGACAGCTTTACACCGGAACCACTCCTTGCCGCTCGCCGTAACACATCGTCCCACAAACGCCTCCTCTCGACACACATTCGGCACATTATCACCACTTAAGTCCATTTCACTAACTATTACTTCCGGTACAAACATATTTAGATCGGAGTTCATCTCTCCATCCCTTCCATTGTTGTCTTCCAACTGTTGTTTGGCTTTCAGTTCACTCTCACAGTCGATGGGTTCACATATATTAGTGTTTGTGTTAAGCATTTCAACAAATTGTTTCAGATTGCCGTCACTTTTGTTACCGATGAGAGTGTTTGCGGGGATAGACATGAGTTTGCGTTTGTGGGTCAATATGTGATCCTTTTGTTTCCAAGAATCGGTAAATTTCTTGTCACAATTTGGCCAATTGCACGAAAATGGACGCTCACCCGTATGTTTGCGTATGTGCCGCACCTGTCATACAATTATATCATTATTAGACACATTTTGCGTAAATCTTTTCATATTTCTATATAACAATTAATTCATATCATTAAAACACAGTACTTCTCAGACCAGGATATTGTCACTTATATTGTGCTCTAATCTATGTTTTAGTTCATTACTCCTCCAAAAATATTTGATTATCATTTCAATCAATCTTTTCATTTGCAAACAAATAATCATTTTTTGCTAAAACAATATGAATCTAACAAAAGTGGGATTTGACGAAATGGGGGCTAAAGAGTCAATCATATAAATCAAGCGCTTATTTATTCAATTAATTTCTAAATTATGTGAAGAATGTTACAAACGGTGTATAAAACTTTTTGGATGTCTCTAATAAGGCTCTGAAGGCAAAACATTATAGGAAAAGGGGGTAAAAAAATTTAAGTCAATAAAAATAGTTGCAAATGCAATATAAAAGTGTTATTACAGTAAATATATTTTTTATTGGACTTATTTTTCGCAATAATTCATATGTTTTATATACTAATTAGTTTTGGTCCTAAAATGCATTAAACAATTTTTATACACCTCAACAGTGAATGCAATATAAGGCAAACTCGCTTAGGAGTGAACGATAGCTGCGGGGGGTCTACAGGTCTGCACCACAATTCCCAGAATACAAGGAGGGGTCCAACACTCCTCTCTCTCTCTCTCTCTCTCTCGCATAGATTCACTGCATTTAGACTCAAATTCACAAACAAATATAAAATACGCGAAAAATATCAGAAAAACAAATATTCAAATATTTCTTTCCTTAACCCAAATATAGAGCGAAAGAATTTGCTTTAAATTAATATAAAAAATCCTTTTGAGAGGATTTCTACACCAAAAAAGTCATACAATTTGTACACCAGTTTTGGTGGCGAGAATTGGGTCATCACTTGTGGTCGTTAGGCGGGGGTTTGGGGTCGACCCTCAGGCTATGGGTGTGCGAGCGTTAGGCACTGGTGTGGGGTTAGAGTGGGGGTGGAGTGGAGGTCAGGTATGCAATGGCGGACATAAAGACAATGATACAAAGATGTAGTAATTTACCAAATGATTGGACTTATTGGAAGCGTATGGACATTGAGGCCATTTGCAGTGATACCAAGTGATGCCATTGATCTTCCGTCTCTCCACGAATTCCTCCACATTCCTGATCCCATCGTACGTGTGGTTCATATGTGTGGCGCCCGAAGACAGCCACTCGTTGAACGACAACTCGTTGGCCGCGAGACTAACCGTCCGATTGTCGGCCGCATTGGGGCTCTCATTGGTGTTGTTGTTGTGGATTGTCTGCGGCTGTTGTGGTTGTGGTTGAGATGGTGTCGACTCTTTCGGTCGATGGGATGTATTGTTGCGGCGGTTGTTGTGGTGCCGAAGAAGCGATGTGTGGCTATTGTTGTTGCGGTTGAAAGTGACGGCTGGGAGGAAGTGGTGTCCGTTTTGAGGGCTGTTGAGGGGTTGGATGTGTTGACTCGCTTTAGCATTAGTGTTGAAATGTATGTTATTTTCTAATTTGATTTCCCAATCGATGTTTTGCCGCTTAATGTCCAACAACTCCGACAATAGGTTCACATTATTAGCCATTATTTACACATTAATTATGATTGCATTTAATAACAGATTTTTGTTTGACATTTAAAAACATAACATTTTCTGCAATCAATGTTTGAGTCAATCATTCATTCATTTTAAAGGCGTTTCGAAACAAACTCTATATGAAAATCAAGCGAAACATATAGTGGGGGACCGTCTCTATAGTGCCAACCATTTTCACCCACTATTTCACCCATACTTTGCATATTATAATAATTGGATTTCGCACTTATTTTATGCATTTCTTTAACATTGAATAAAATTAATTTTATAGTAAATTTAATATTTGACTAAATGTTTAATTTTATCAAATGTTTAAACCTTAAAAATCTAAATTAAGTCTAATCGGCGATTACTGCTAATCCTTTAAAACATCCTATTCTGTGAATACAGGCATTTATTTGAGGCAACATTTGAGGTGAACTTTGGATAAAAGTTTGAAAGCTTAACAAATTTAACACAAAACTATTTTCAGTGAAATTTTTGTATTTGTAAATTTAAATAAAATGAATTTTCTATTAATATTATTGTCGATAAGTTGTATCAGTTCTTCCATTTCTTTCCCAATTATATTGGAAGCGATATATGTGTGGAAATACGGGGTAATTATTGTTTCACTCATCGTTGTTATACTAAAACTATTAAAGAATACATTGTATTATGAAAATAAGTTATTTTAAATAACAATAATTGTAATAATTATTGATGTCTTGCATTATATGGTGGTATTGATGGACATAAAGGATCCCAAATTCTTGTACCCGTATATCAATAATATTCCATCCGATGAGTGGAGACGTATTCAACACAGAAAAAGGGCTCATATTCGTGGCTAAGGAATAATTTACCATCTTTTGGATAATATTGGTTAATAAATGCATCGAAAGTAATACAATGTCATGTAAATGCATTTAATTGAAACTATTTTACTATATATAAAATATCGAAATATTAATAGAAATATATTTTTCATTTTATTGAATTCTAACAAATATTTTGGTCAATAAACATATATAATCATTGAATTGAGAGATTATATAAATTCATATTAACTAATGTTAAAATAAATTTAATTTAATGTAAAAATAAAACATGCGATTACAGTATATGGGAAGTTGAAACCATTTTATGGACATTTTAGAGTATAATCAAAAATTGTATAAAACTATTATAAATTGAAAACATTATGGTATTAACGTAAAGATCTGAAGACAAACACAACATTCAATATTCTATCAAATCTTATGTAAACTTTAGTAAACTTTATTTTGACTTCATTTTCAATTCAACTAAAATTAGGATTAAATGATTAAAAAATTGATTCGTTTAATTCATCGATAATTCCAATGAATTTCAATAATATTTAGCAGTAAATCAAAACAATGATTGATAAACAATAAGCAATGATTTACAAATTCACCACAATTTTTTGGCATTATATTCTTCATAAGCATCTCTTGTGTCTAATTTTGTGCATTTGTAGTGTTTTGTGGTTAATGGTGGCGAACTGACAGCCCCTGTAATTACATCTAAAGGGCTGCTGTTTCTTATGTATCACTTGATGTGATATGAGTTGTGATTTGTCGGTAAAGCTGGCGCTGCAATGATTCCAATTGCACACAANGGTTAATGGTGGCGAACTGACAGCCCCTGTAATTACATCTAAAGGGCTGCTGTTTCTTATGTATCACTTGATGTGATATGAGTTGTGATTTGTCGGTAAAGCTGGCGCTGCAATGATTCCAATTGCACACAAATTGTCCAATATTTTGGTGTTTCCTCAGATGAGCCAACACTTCGTGCCTTTGATGTGATCTGTATTTACACTGTTTTGGATTCCAAATGCAAACAAACCATAACTTCTTGTTATACCTCCGCTTCGTCAGGAACGACGAGAGGTCGTCGTCTTCGCCGTTATCTTCGGTCTCATCGCTCGTCTTTTCGTAAAACATTCGGTTCTCCTCTTCGGCCTCTTCTTCGT